TTTTTTTATGTCTAGGATGATCTTTATTGTACTTGAAGGTCAAACAATTTAAATTTACCTAATCATGTTGTATGATCCAAATCATATGCCATTTAAGGAAGCATATGAACTAATAGAGTTAATGACTACTAATAATTTTTAGTGGTCTGTTGATAAGTTAAATCCTAAGGGAGTAGCAGAAGTATATGAATATGATGCTTTGTTAATTTTGACTACAAAAGTTGTAGCAATTTCTAAGAAGTTGAGTATAGTAAAAGAAAATATAGAATTCAAAACTAAATTATTCATACAATTGGAGGATCAAAAGTTAATTGAAAATATTAATGTGTAAGGGATTGAAAATTTTAGTTTGATTGGAAGACAAAATAATACCTAATGTGACATATATATTTCAGGTTGGAGGAACCATCCTAATTTTAATTGGTCAAATAAGTTTCTAGAAAATCAATGAAATTCTAATCAAAATAATCAATGATTAAATCGGAACAATCATTATCAATCTCTTGTTAATCCTAGACTTGCATATCTTCTAGGATTTAATCAAAGCAATCAACTTGGAAGTAGAAAATCACCATTGGAAGATGTAGTGATTCAGTTAGGGACTCAATTACAAAATCAAGATACTTTAATTAAACATTTGGAAATCTAACTATGTCAGCTTGGAATTTTAGTTAATAGTATACATCTTGGATCAATGTCTAGCAATATTGAAGTTAACCCAAAGGAAAAAGAAAAAGATCCAAGATAAAATCATTTGAAGATTGATAGCAATATACTGCATCCAAATTGATAAATCTAGGCAAGTCTAACTAAAGATAATAAACTTAGTGTTATATGGGAGGCAAAGCAGCTTTTAATTTTTACGTGCTTGGTAGATTAGATATAGCAATAGTAGTCATTAATTAAAAAAACTAAGAGAGTGAAAGGACAGTTGCAGCACTACTTATAGTGAAACTTTGCTTGGTCATGCCGCATCTGTTTAAAAGTCAAATTTTTCGCTCTACTCTATCAATTTATTACTTGATTCAGCGTGTATATTTGCATATATTAAGTGGAGTTTTATTATTTTTATATCAAAGAAAATTTGAGAATTATTTTGGGGTGATAGAGCCCTAGATTTTTATACAATTCAAAGTTCACTCCATAGCCCTCATAAGTAGCTTTTTTTTCTTTTGAATTAGATTGAGCTATTACATAGCCCCTCTCAACAGCTAATCTCCTACTTGATCCTTAAGATGTCCTCTTAAATATTGGGCTTTATGTTGAACAATTGGAATAAGAAATAGTGGGGATAAGGGAGAATAATTCATTGTTGTGTACATGATGAAAAGTATTTATTGGATTCAAATTTATCATGGGCAACATCATGACCTTATTAGAGAGTTTAGATAGGAAGATGTGGACGGGTACGATGACAATGAGTGCGTAAGTAAGGACAAGAGCTCAAGAATTTGCTGCTCTATGTGAATAGTGAAAACATCATAATGATGTAAAAAAATCATTTCAACCTATTATTTATAGGGTTGAAAAGGCTATAGTAGATGTTAAACCTAGATAAATTATAAATAATACATTATAAATAAGTGGACAAGTATCTCTAGATACATGTGGGTAACCATATCTAGCATAACTATGGTTATCTTAGGTGAGATCCTATAGTAAGTGCTCTTGATGGTTCCCCTCGAATGAAAGACTCATTTATACGCCTTGAGCTAGTTCTTTTGAGTTAGGGATTGGTATGATTAATGAGGCTGCTAATATGGGGTTTGTAGGTGTGTGCCTCTTATTGTTTGAATGAGGGGCCCTCTAAGGGACAATTTATTACAGTTAGGGTAAGGTATCCTTTAGGGTGCTTTATCCTATGGCGAGTACCTCCTTGGATTGAGGTTTATTAATGTGGGTTTCTCTTTTAATAAAACATGCCTAAGGTGTATACTTTTTTTGTCAAGCTCATCATAGGTGAGCTTTAGTAAGTTGAGTTTCTTCCTAAGATACATCAGAATCTAATTTGGAAGAAATATTTTTCATAACTTTCAATAATTAATAGCCAGAGCTACCTAATTTCTTTTATCAATATAAAAACCAGTAGAAATAAAACTATTAATTAAAACATCAATATATATATATTTGTATTTACATGGATCAAAATATGGGCTATTACATTTCCCTTGTTAAATCTTGCTTGGGATGGTTCCCCTCTTGGCGAGGCATATTTTGGATAAGTACCCCTCCTAGTCGAGCTCCTTTATAGATAGTGAATTCAGCTAATCCCTACAAGTTACTTATTGTTAAGTGTAAATTGTATTGTTTATTATGTGTAAGTTTAATAAAAATGTGTTGTTTTAGTGGTTTTTGCACAGAAAATATATAGGGAAGGACAAAAATGATAAGTGTTGAATAGTGCCATAGCTTTGGATTTCACAACCCCTTGGCACTAAATTCAGACATTACAATGCCATATTCTCTATTTTAAAGCATCACAGTGTCACTTAGGTCAGTGTTGCAGTGTAACATAATGTCATTACACCCAAATTCAACACTGTAGTATTAGAGCATCAAGAAATTAGCTCCAAAGTGTTGATCCTTATACTGCCTCAGTACCAAAATTCACATTCTTGCACTGCAATGCTCAAACTTATGTAGCGTCATAATTGAGCAGTTACCAATGTGAGTAGCCACGTTGAGTCAGCCAAAAGATGCATTTTTTCAATCATTAATAATATTAGGTTAGCCAGCACTATATTGGAGCCAAAATTGCAACTCCAAAGTGTCAATTCATTTTATACCGCCAGAGTGCCACCTTGTCAGTGATGTAGAGCTTGAGCCCATCCATGTACTTCCTACAAATGGTTTGTTAGTTCTATTATTTAGAGAGTTATATCACTTAAGTTAAATTTTATTATTTTAAGTGTATTTCTTTAGTGCCCCTTATAGTAAAGTCTAAGGGAGGATAGGTAAGTATAAGATACTTTTTCTTGTAGATATCTTAGCCTATTTGTGTAAGAAACTCTGTGGTTGGAGGAAGGAGTGTGGAAAAGATCATTTGATCCTTCTTTGTGAAAATTTAATATTACTTCCCTTTTATATTATCTTTCAATGAATGAAATGAAGATGAGTTTGCTTACTCTATTTTTCATGTTTTACTAATTCTCTAGTTTTAGGTTGATGATATTAAAAATATAACAAGTACCGATACAGACTCTTATCCCTTGAATGATAAAATAAATTTTTTTAATATCTCTCCTTCTTCATTTAATATATACAATTGTCATATTTGTTATTAATACCGAGTATAATGTATAGTCTTGATAGAGGAATGTTAGAATATTTATCATAGTATCTTAGATACTTCTGATTCTTTAAGACTTAAATAGAGTTTTAAAACTTTTCATTTCTTCAATCATTGATAAAAATGAATAATTCAAGTTTCATTCAAATTAATCATTTTGGCTGACTGTTTTGATGTATATGATAAGTAAAAAGTTTAGGAACTAAAATGAACAGTGCAATAGCAATAAGCGCAAGAATATTAACTTCCAATGTCTCTTTGTTTTCTTATTTCACAATAATTCAGGATCTAATCCCATAGAGATGATAAAGTGGATGGTCTGAGATCCACATTTATGAATTGAAAGGTCTGAATGATTAACTATACAATCAGTTGTTAGAATCCATAGGTGTTCAATTCATATGAAAAAATTGAAACCCTTCTCATTGGATGATGATGATACTTCCCAAAGACCAAAATCTTTGATCAGTGGAGGAACAATATTACCATTTTTGTTCAAAAAGATAACAAAGTGAGTATTGAAATGGAATATTATCATGCCTAGACATATGATGTTTTAATATTCTAGGTTATATGGATATAATAAAATTATAGGAAGGCTACAAATGTTTCATTTTATTCCTACAAGCTCGATAGAAATCTAGCGATGAATATGCTCTGATCCACATCTAAAACCAAAAGAGTCTCATCAGGAAAACTATGTTATTTATATTTATTAGTTTAAAATACTTTATTTTTATAAGTATCAAAATCTCCTTACAATTATTTCTTTCAATGAAAAAAACTCCAAAAAATCTTTTTTATTTTTCAGTATGATAAGTTATGCATTTGAAGTAAGCATCAGCAGTTACGTTACAATTAATTAGAATATTTCTCATGGGTTTGACACTCTACGTTATCACCTTACTATTTTATTCGACGTGTATACTTACATATTTTAGTGGGATTTTATTAATTTTATATTAAAAAGTCCAAGCATATTTCAAACTCAATAAGTCACATAGTAGCTCAGTGTAAACCCCCATCAAGTTTTTGGCATCATTTTCAGGGAAGTAACATATGTGTTACAATTTTTACTATATTATTGAAACAATTGCATATTTAAAGCTACTTGTACCATTTATCATTATTGTATTTGATAAAAAATTAAAAAAAGAAAAAAAATTGTTTTGTTAATTATTTAGCTCATGGTATTTATTTTAGGTATTTTATCATTATTGCATGCTTAGTAGATCTAATAAGAGGCCATTGTTATTTGACCCTAAAATAGAAAGGACCTTCACAAATATTTTTTGAAAAACTAAACATATTTATAGATTTCTAAACCAGTGCAAGATCATACCATTCTAGACTTCTTAGGGAGTATGTTAACCCTGTAGTTGAAGGAATCCATCAGAGTATTAATAGGCCTGCTATCCATGCTAATAACTTTGAATTGAAATATGTTATAATTTAAATGGTTAAAATTTTTTACTTTGGGGATACTCCTGTTGAAGATCTCAAATTATACTTAGCCAATTTCTTGGAAATATGTGCAACATTTAATTTTATTGGTGTTAGTGATGATATTATTAGACGTATATTGTTCTCATTTTATCTAAAAGACAAAGCTAAGAAATGGTTGAATTCTTTGTCCTAAGGCTCTATAACAAGTTGGATTGAGTTGTATCATAAATTCCTAATTAAGTATTTTCTACCTTAAAAAATTGCCAAACTTAGGAATGATATCACATCTTTTGTATAGTTTAAGGGAGAATTGATTTTTGAAAGTTGGGTGAGATTTAAGGAAATGCTTAGGAAATACCCTCACCATGCTTTACCCAATTGGTTGGTTATTCAAACTTTTTATAATAGATTGGTAGGATCCCTTAGATCAATCATAGATGTTGCAACTGGAGGAACTGTAATGTCTAAGCCATTTTAGGAATCATATGAACTAATACAGGAAATGGCTATATATAATTTTCATTGGCCTGCTGATAGGGTGAATCCTAAGAGAGTACCTAAAGTCTATGAATAATATTCTTTTTCAACTTTTACTACTTAAGTATCTACAATTTCAAAGAGATTAGACAATATGGGAGTTTGAACTAGACCATATAGGAATAATTGTTACTCTAATCCTGCAATTGATCCTAAACATATGAGCACTATAGTGCCACAATTACAGCACCTCACCATTACCCTTTAGGATTTGATCATAATTATAAATTTGGGAATAGGAAGATAACATTGGAAGAGATAGTAGTAAAATTGGAGACTTAACTGTATGATCAATCTATAACGCTTAAAAAAATAAAAGACATATATGGAAGCTTGCTAGGTTGATCAACAGTCAAAAATTAAAAGCTCAATGTAATAATATCTAGCTTAGGAGTGGATAGATTTAGGAGGCCCACATAAGGACATAAATCAATCTCTAAAGGATAATGATGTAGAAGAACCTTTAGAGGCTGAGCCCCCTACTGAACAACCCGAATTCATCAACAAAATTGAAAAACCAATTAGAAAAGTTGTAGAGAAACCTCTACTACCTTTTCCTCGGAGACTGATCAAACAACATTTGGATAAATAATTCTCTAGGTTCTTAGAAGTGTATAAAAAGTTAACCATCAACATAACTTTCTATGAAGCACTAGGGTAGATGCCCACCTATGCTAAATTCATGAAGGATGTTCTAAATATAAAAAGAAAGTTAGGAGAATTCAAAATGGTAGCCTTACCTGAAAAGTGTAGTGCTATAATTTAAAAGAAACTTCTTGAAAAATTAAAAGATCCCCATATCTTCACCATTCTCATAATTGTAGGAGATAATTTTTTTTGGTAGAGCTTTATATGATGTAGGATCTAGCATCAATCATATGCCCTTATCCATTTTTAGAAGATTAAATCTAAGTGACGTTCAACCCACCACTACCACCCTTCATCTAGCTGATAGATCTTTCATTTATCCTAAGGGGTGGTAGAGGATATCCTGATTAAGGTTGATAAGTTTATTTTCCCCATTGATTTTATTATTCTTGACATGAAAGAAGATATGGAGATATCTCTTATTTTAGGAAGATCTTTCTTAGCCACTAGGAAGGCTATCATTGATGTTTATAAAGCAGAATTGATAATGAGGGTTCAAGATCAATAAGTGACTATTTATTTCTTAAATCTATGAAGTTCCCTCATGAAAAGAATAAATATTATTTGAGTTAATTTGAAAGACACTATAGTGGAGAGATTTAAAGAAGATTTGTTATAAGGGGAATCATTAGAAGATATTGAGGAAGATTGTGAGGACTTAGGAGAATCTATTCAATTAATTAGAGATAATATTAAAATATTTAGGGAGAAGTTTGAAACTTTATAAAATTCATTTTTTGGATAAAACTTAGAGACCTTCTCTAGAAGCACCTGACCTAGAGCTAAAGGTTTTTTTTCCCAGCCATCTTAAGTATGCCTTTTTGGTAAAAATTTAACTTTGCCTATGATTATTTTTATATGATTATAAAAGAATGAGAAAGAAATATGATTAGGATTAAATACTATTAAAGGAATTAGCCCGTCGATCTGTATGTATATAATTTTAATAGATTTTAATTCAATATCAAAACTGATCCTCAAAGAGGACTAAAATTTATAAAAAAAAGTTGTCAAAAAGGAGATACTTAAACGGCTTGATATTGAATTGTCTATCCTATTTCATATAGTTCTTGGGTCAGCCCCATTCATTATGTCCCTAAGAAGGATGGTTTAAATGTAATAACTAATGAACACAATGAACTTATTCATAATAGGATTGTCACTTGTTGGAGAATCTGCATATATTATATGAAGCCAAATATGGCCACTAGAAATATCATTTTCCTTTTTTTTTTTTTCCTTAACTTGATGTTAGATAGGTTGGTAAGACATTCATTCTACTATTTTCTATATGGCCATTCAGGGTATCACCAAATTCTTATAAAATCTGAAGACTAGGATAAGACTACCTTCACTAGTCCTTATGAGACATTTGCCTTTAAGAGACAGCCTCTTGGTCTTTGCAATGCCCCTACTACTTTTCAAAGATGCTTGATGCCAATTTGTTCCAATTTAATTAAGCAGGGCACTAAAATCTTCTTGGATAAGTTCTCTATTTTAGCACTATGTTTGATTCTTGCCTTGAGCATTTAACTTGTATATTGAAAAGATATGTAGAGAAAATTTTAGTGTTTAATTTAAAAATATGTCAATTTATGGTGATGAAGAGTGTTGTTTTAGATTATAAAATTTATAAGGAAGGATTAGAGGTAAACATTTTAAAAATTCAAGTTATAGAAAAACTTCCCCCATCCACTTCTGTTAAAGGAATAAGGAGCTTTTCTGGGCATGCAGGATTTTATGGGGAACTTTTATTTGGTCCGGTGAACATACGTAGAGCTACATTTGGCCGGCACTAAGATCGCAGGCACAAAATGAGAAATACCGAGCAAATACCGAGCAATACCAATAATAGCGAGAAATATCATTATGTGAAGACAAAATACCGAGTAATACCAAGCAATATTGAGCAATACAAAGTAATACAAAAAATACCGAGTTCTTTCTAGAAAAACTCGGTGTTTTTTGGTAATACCCGGTATTGCTCGGTATTACTCGGTATTGGTTTTCCCAGAGCGATATTCCTCGTTATTATCAAACAATTCCTAGCAATACCGACCAAATACCGAGCAAAAATTGAGTAACAATCTTTTGACCGAACGTAGATTTACATCCGGTCAGAGGATGTAATAAAAGTTCTTTTATGGGAGGCTTATAAAGGATTTTTTCGAATTTTCAAAATATTTATGTCATTTGTTGGAAAAGGATGTTCTTTTTATATTTGATACTACATGTTTTGAAGCTTTTAATATGTTGAGACGTCATTTGATTATTGCTCAATTATTATTGCTTTTAATTTTCCATACCTTTTATAGTAATGTGCGATGCAAGTGATTTTGATGTTGGTGTTGTTCTAGGTCAAAAGTAAAATAAGACATTCCATATCATTTTTTTATGCTAGTGGAACGTTAAATTTTGCACGGTGTAATTATACTACAACTGAAAAAGAATTACTAGCCATTATTTTTTTCTTTTAATAAATTTAGGGCTTATTTGATTAACATAAAAATAATTATTTATAGTAATCATTCTACAATCAAATACCTTATGACAAAAAAGATACCAAACTTAGATCGGTGAGGTGGATTCTTCTATTACATGAATTTGATGTAGAAATTTCAAGTAAAAAGGAATTGAAATTCAAATTGTTCATCATCTGTCAAGAATTTCAAATGCAGACCATGCATCTAACGAACTTGAGATTAATGACTTTTTTTTTTCTGATGAATAACTATTTTCTTTGCATTTAAATAAATCCCCATGATATGCTGATATTGTCAATTTTATTATGCTTCCATTTAAGTTATCCTTTGTTCAGAAATAAAGTTCTTGCATGATGTCAAATATTATTTTTGAGATGAACCATATTAATTTAAAGCATGTAATGACCAAAATATTAAGAGATGTGTCCCCGAGGAACAAGTATATCCCAAAATTAGGGAATGTCATGATTCTCATTATAGAGAGCATTTTAGAGTATTTAGAACTTTTTCTAAGGTACTCCAATAAGAATTTTATTGGCCTACTTTATTTAAGGATTCTAATGATTATGTTAGAAAATATGATCAATGTCAAAGAGTGGGTAATATTTCTAGAAGAAATGAAATACATCCTAGAACTATATTTGGGTGATTGAGATATTTGATGTTTGGTGATTGGATTTCATGGGACCATTTGCGTAATCTTATGGATGCCAGTATATTTTGATTGTTGTTGACTATATATCAAAATGAATTGAAGGAGTGCAAACCCTATTCTAGATTTAGGATGCCTAGAGTTTTAATTAGTGACAGGAAAAGTCATTTCTATAATAAGAGAGTAGAAGCAATATTAAAGAAATATGGTATTCATCTTAGGGTTGCAACATCTTATCATCCCCAAACTAGTGGCCAATTTGAAATAAGAAATAAGAAAATTAAAAGAATTCTAGAAAAAAAAAAACTATTAGTTCTAATAGGAAAGATTGGGCTATTAAATTAGGTGATGCATTATGACCCTATATAATTATTTTTAAGACTCATATTGGCATGTCTCCCTAAAGGTTTGTTTTTGGAAAAGCTTTTCAACTTCCTATAAAATTAGAGCATAAGGCGTTTTAGGCTGTAAAAGAATTAAAATTTTATCTTAAGGGAATAGAAGAAAATCTAGGTGGACCTGACCATTCACTATTATGAAAGTGCAAAAATTTAAATGCATAAATGTAATAAGAAAGAGCACACCAGATTTTATTGTGTTTCAGTCAACTTGACCTACGTTCACTCCCCGGAGCCTCTCCTCAAGGTATTGCACTAAAACACAGTGACACTCCTTTTGCTCCTACAGCAAGGCGGAGAAGCATTTACAAACTCCTTTCCACCGACCCTGGTGAGGCAGAGAATCCGACCTCCTTTTGCTTCCTCCTAAAGAAAGCAGAGAACATTGATCAATTGTTGAAGAAGACTTCTCTAAAGCCTCCAAAGAACCAAGGACGTCGATAGGAGAAGATGACTCAGATCCTTGTTTGGAGAAACCTTTGTGAACCCCTCAGAAACTCGCCCTCACAAGATCCTCTCTCTCTCTCTTTCTTAAGTTCTCCCTCTCCTTCTCTTAGTTCTCCCAGGTTAGGACAATCCTTGAATAAACAAGAGATCTTATAAAGAAGGGCTTAAAAATTGCCCTAATTTGCAACTTGCCGACAAAGGTCGTTC